CTCGCCACAGGTTGTCTCCATCTGCCCCGATCTTGTCGAAGACCGGGAAGCAGGATGACGAGGTATTAATATCGGATCTGAAGCGGAGTCGAAATCCGTGCTTTTGCTGATGTAGAAAGTGGGGACCGGCTCACCTTCTCGCCCATCCTCAACGAAAAAGATGGGCGTAATGCTTGAGGTACCTTGCGAGGGTGTCTGGTCCCGTGTCCACAGCCTCCCCCAGTCCAGCGGCGAAAGCGCGGATCTGGAGGGACTATTCTCCTCCCTCGGTTGGTCCCGGCACCTGGAGGCACAAGTCCCCGAATTGGTCGGTGATGAAGTCGAGCTTGCCGAAGGTGATCTTCTTGCCCGGCTCCTCCTCTGGTTCGTCGCCTAAGTTGAAGATGATTCCCATCTGAAACACAAGATTAGTCTGAACGCGAAAAGGCTCCTACCTGACGCGCCAACTATCAGATTATTTAGCTCTTGGGATGCTTAGTAATGTGATCGCGTAGATGGATCCATATGGTAGTACACGAGATACAAGGATTTATAGTGGATCGGGGCACGGTAGCGCGCTAAACCCTACTCTAGTGGTGCTGCTGCTCTTGTATTCGTATACTCAATTACATGGGCTATTGTTATAACATCCTAGAAAAAAATACATATAGTTTTTATATATGGGCCTGACGGGCTAAGCGACGAATTAATCAGGGTCTAATTACAGCCCAATATATTGAGATGGAAGGTGAGGAGCCTCAACCGTAATCTATATCATCTCCACATCTGATTCAATTCCCCGATGGTTTTGCATCTGAGAAGGCAGAGGTGTCGCCTGGTGTCGCCGTCCCTGTCCTGGCATGGCACGCGCAGGGCTTCTAACCAAACTGCATATGGGAGAAGAGAGGATCTCGTGGTGCAGAGGGAGCTCAGCGCCTGGAGTGGTCACGTGGAGAGTGGAGACCGTGTGGGCAGCAGGCCAAGCACAGGATCTGTGATCCCTTAGGTAGTTAAACAAATCAATCTGCTTTCGAGATTTTCCCTCTGTTCAACACTGGGGAAACTTAGGGTTAAAAAACATTATGTCAGGGCTCAGGAAAACCTACTGCTCGCAAGGCTGTAGTTTTATTTTTGGTGTTTGCACAGTAGATTGATCTGTCCTTTTGTGGCCTTTTATGTTATATACGGAGTATATATCTGAACAGATAATGAACTATGTAGTTTTAGTGTATTTTTTTAATCACTGATTTTTGTGGAATAATCTGCGGGCCATGGAGTTTCGAGATAGTGCTGTTTGCAGGCGCAGAGAGAGAGTAGCCAAAGGGATAGGAGATTGGAACAGTTTGTCATCCGGCTCTGTTCACGTTAGATGCTGGTAACTGTTTCGGTAATTAGGGGTCAAGTAAATCTCGTCAGGTGTTTTACTGTAGAGGTGCTAGCAGATCGATCTTTTGTTTGAGGGCCTGTGTGGCTTATTTTCAATGTGTGTTAAACTAATTAGTTTTAGAAAATTTCAATATCTTTCCACAGAGTACTTAAATAATACATTTGCTGGAATAAATTAGGAGCTATGGAATTTCGAAGTTAATGTTGTCTGCAGTTGGCTTCAGATCTGGGTGATTATATTGTGGCCCAGATTACAAATAGTAGAAGGCCGAATTAGATTTTGTGGTGAATAACAAAGTTGTAGGGAATTTTAAGTAGATGTTTTTACTGTATTCGATCACTGCATTTTCTGTTGTATAGAAATAATTATGAAAATAACATGTTCTGCTCTGAATTTGGTATTTGGCTGTCTTGCAAGGTGAATTCTTCTAAGGGTTTGTTTTGGAACTAGAAATGTGGGGAATATGATTGACTAAGCATAGGGACATGCATCTATTATTTATATGATATGCATGATTTATTGAGTAGTTCCGCATATTTATCTTTACCAGGAAGTACGGTCTCAACCGTTCTTACGCATGCTCATCAAGGTTTTTCTTCAGTGGAAAGGCAAGTAACGTAGGGGTGTGGCTAATGCTATGCTTATACTCATGTCTTGCATTCTTTTTTAATAAAATACAACAAGACTAATAATATGGTTTACCTTCATTCTTGTTTATGTATACATTGTTTATTTATGGATTTATTTATAATGTCGATGTCGCTTGTCGCTATGAGATGATGGTTGTAGATTATTATATTATAATTGTTGCACACTATGGAGTTATGCATACATGATCATTCATATGCATAATATATGCATTTCATATGGAGTTAATGGTCGGTCACCGCCATTGTGCAGTGACTAGTACCGGTACATGGAGTTGCATGAGAGGTTGGCATCATCCAACATTGAACTCTCAACTGGAGTTGCATCATGACATACATAAATTTCATGTCATTTGGAGAATATGGAATTGCAGATTATGAATATTCGGAGTGTTTGGTTATTGGTTGAAATATCAAGAGGTTGAGTACTTTAATTATTTATATCATCGCTTATCATGGTTTTCTCTTTTGGATAAAAACTTGCAAATCAACATGTGTAAGATATGTGTATATTCATAGTCGTTGTTGCTGAGTTTATCTCACCCCTTCATTCTCTTCCAGGTTATTAATGATGAATGCTGGCATGAAGGGGATGGGATTAGCAACAGCACTTACACTCTTGTATCATCACATAATAGTTGTAGAATCGTGTAGTAATAAAGATAATAGATGATCTCCTTTTGTACTTAGAGATAATAATCCTACATATCTACTTTTCTTGTATACTTTACTTCTTGAGTACCACGTATATCTGGTTATTTATATATTTCTTCTTCCGCTTGCGTTCATCTTTTGAGTAGAGTCGCTGAATTTAATAGTTTGGCAACTTTGTTTGGAGTTGTATGGTAGCATCCTAGGGTTGCGTGGTACCTGGGGTGTTATAGTTGCTTCTAGCTACGAGGTAGATTGGAACGACGGATGGTGTCGATCTCGAGCCCGAGGTCCCTATTCTCCTTTATATAGGCAGGAGAGGTAGGGTTACAGAGGACGATCGGGCTAACAGATTGAGTTCCTAGTTTGTTACATGATATGTGCAACAGATTAATCCTGGCTATCGTCCAGATACAACCGTCGTAGTTTGCCTTGATCTCCATGATGGTCGATCGCGTCAGCCCTCGCGGGCCTCCTCCTTGATGGCTGCTAGGCCGATAGCCTGATGATGGTCACATATATGGACGGTGCATGTACCCCTGGCCCATATATCTGACAAGTGGGCACTAGATCTCTCCTTGGAGCACCGGAGAGTTAGTCCACCAAGTTTTAGAAGGGTGTTGAGTTGTCACCGGAATTCTCCGGTGGACAACAAATTTTTTGCACAGAGGCTGTTGTAGGCTATTTTTCACAGGCGGGGCACCATACATTCCGGTGCTTATCGTAGTCAAGTCACCAACAGTGTGGAATAGTGGATTGACAGCGTGAAATGCAGTAGTGTGCATTGGAGCTCTCCGGTATGGGTGCCGGAGTGTGCATCGGATCTTGACTCTAGAGACGGGTTTTAGCGTGTGTGTGTTTGGGCTAGTGTGAGCATTGAATCTCTCCGGCGGTGCACCGAAGAGGGCGTCGGAGCTTCACCTATGCAATAGCTAGTTTAAGTGACCGTTAGAGTTCTCTGGTGTGGGAGTTATTTTGCTCACCGGTGCTTTCCAGTGGTTATGTTTCTGTGCAAAAAGTGCACAACAGCTAGTTTGGCTTAGTGTCAAATAGAAGTTGTGGTTGGGTGAGTTTAGGTTGCTAGTGCCTACCAAGACACAATAGAGCCAATGTTAGCCCTCCACTTACATATGCTAAGTTGAGATTGCATTCGTGGTGAGATTGGAGTGATCTATAGCGCATTTGCTTCAGATGAAGATGAGCTCACCAAGTGGCCTTTTCTGAGGATGGGAATGGTTCGTGGGTGGCTGATGTTAATGAGAGACGGTAGACATCAAGCCAGCAAGCCATGGATAAGACTAGGTATAAGTAAATAGATAAGTAATTGAAGCTTAAAGAACTGGAATAAAAAATAAAGTAATCGTAATCAAGAAAATCGGTTGCAGACAGTATAGAACCGAATTTTGTTTGGTATTTCGGTTTTTACTATTAGTTAACTGAGTTATCCAAAAAACCAAATTACAAACTTGTATTTCACTTAGTTGCATTTTGTAAGAATATATTTTTGGTTATATTGTGATATTTCATATTTGAATTCAAGTGTATTTGTGTTACTATATTGTTGTTGTTCTCTTATCAATTATTATTATCTAAAATAGGAGAAGTGGTACCCAAATACATTTTTATTGGCTTAGCTTATGTTAAAAACTAAACTCTGTTAGAACCAAAACCAAACCGAAATTTCTAAAAACAAAAACTTGAAGTGATCTGTTCCTTGCATTTCTTAGAACTAATCGGACCCTCTGTTCTGCCAACCATATCTTTGAGAACCGAAGAATCGGTTCGATAATTTGATTTGATCACCTCTACTTCACGATCAACCTGGTCAATTCATCAATAAACTGAAGATTACGAGCGAGGTCAGATCTATATGAACATATAATTGCTTATTACTCAAATCTGCAGACACACAGGTAATGTACAAATATACTCATTTTATTGCCTCCTTTTCTTCAACAAACACTACAACTTCTTTACCAAAAACGAAAGAAAGGAAAAGAAAACACTGCTGCTGCTACTCAGTCTGCACTTGCATCACAATCTTGTGTACGACTAGGCTGCCGTCACAGCTCTGCCTCCCCTTCCATGAACACCTCCACTCTTCAAACTCTGTTCCCACCTTTGCTGGCCAACCCTGTACATACTTACACGGATGATGATGCTCACAGTCAAAGCTAAGCATCACAGCCATCCTGGATCATCATCCAGCAGCCTTGCACGGACAGGTAAGGCAGCAGCGTCTTGTCCTGACGAACCCAACCAAGTTAATCTCCATGTGTTTGGCCACCTTTAATCAACTCCCCAGATTAACTTGCGCGATGTTGCGTTACAGCTCTTCACATGATGCTGCATCCAGGGTCCTGTTCTTGCTGCGGGTAAGCTGCAGGGTAGGAGTAGACGGCAGGGTAGGACGGCATGGGGTTGTACTGCTGGTAGGCAGGGTACGAGACCGGCGGCATCGCCTGGTAGTGGCCGCCGTAGCCTGCAGGGCCGCTGCTGCCCTTGCCACTGCCGCCGCCACCGCCGCTCTCTTTGCCCTCCTTTCCCTCTTTGCCCTCTTTGCCACCACCAAATCCGCCGCCGCCGCCGCCGTAGCCCATGCCACCGCCACCACCGTACATCATGCCACCGCCGCTCCCGTAGCCATACCCATCGCCCTTCTTCTTGTCGTCGCCGGAGCTGACGCTGAGCAGTTCCGCGTAGCCGAGGCTGCGCCGGAGCATGGTCGTCAGCGTGATGGGGTCCACACCGTCGCCGACGATGATGATCTTGTCGCCCTCCATCGTGGCGGATGTCACACCTGCGGATCGGAATCGTACGTCCAGCGCCACATCACTTGTCAGAACTTGGGACTTGATCACTTCACAACCATTAGCAATTCTATTTCCAACAGCAACAGAGATGCTAATCAAATCGCAGTGATTGTTAGTTGATCTTACCATTCATGCCCACAGCAGCCTTGAAGGCCTTCCTCCTCTTCCTCTCGTCATCCAGGGGCAACTTGAGGACAATCTTTTGCTGCAGCGAGAAATCAAAGAACCCCCAAGAAATTCAGAACAAAAACATTCAGGCACACAAATGAAGCAATGAAGACGGCTGGATGAGCGACCAACCTTGCCCATCTTTGTTGCACGGAATTCTTCACAGAGCTATCCTGTCCTGGCCGTACAACAGAGAACAGTACTAGACTGTACTTGGAGTCAAGAATATCTTGTGCGATATGATTGTTGAGCAAGACGAGAGGAGCTGCTGCAAGCTCTTGTGAGTTATGAGACACAAGATACATGGCCATCACCTTATTTATAGGCAGGCTGGCAATAAGCAGGACGACAGGCAGAGTATGTAACTACTAGTATATGCTATGGGAGGAAGGCAGGAAGCAGCAAAGAAGGCTCTGGACAGAGGAAAGTTAGCTTAGCAAAATGGAAGAAAACAAACAGCCAATCAATGAGCAAACAGTGCACGGCTATGAAATGTGTGAATAATCCAGAAGACGCACTGTGCCAGATGCCCAGCTCACGGTGAAGCTGGCTGGTGTTCGTGGAACCTCAACATCAGCGAGTGGCTGGTAGTGTCTGGTCGGTGCTAGTGTGCCACAAGTTTCCACACATTTGATTATAGCTTGCTGATAGCTCATTTCAACACACCACACCACAACACAGGCCAAAAACCGTGTCACAAGCATACGCCTGGGGAAAAAAAGAGCTCTCAGCATGATATCACCTGCATAAGTATGTACTTACAGTTTGAACATGTCTATGCATAACAGTTTTACCGCTGGTATTGTTTTGTGTAGTACAAGATAGCTCAGACCAGGGTTTTCTTAAGAAGGAGCCTCAGAAGTTTTGTCGCAGATTTTATTAGACGATAAAAAACTAAAAAATAAAATAAATTGCAACTAGTCATTCAAGGCCTTTATAGTAGTCTGTTTTTGGGCTATCTGAAATCAGTTTCCTTTTTTCTTTCTTCAGACCAGGGTTTAGAAGCAAAGTTTCACTGAAATTCCCAGAATATCCCCTTTTCCTCTGGCATCTCGGTCTGATAACTTTTTTGCCCACAAAAAATTCACGTTTCAATTCATGTTCTGTCCAAAATTGCACCAAATCGCCCGAGAATGGTCCTTCCAAATACCTCTACCCAAGTCCTAAAATTCTCCAAATTCTCAATTTCCCCGCTCCCACGCCCAAGGCCACAAACATAGGCAGCTCAATCACCGTCAGTCTTGCCATACTATTACTGCTCTACCTCAGTGATATGGTTGTATTATTTCTTGGATGTTATATATAGTTGTGATGCATGATGGATTGGAGAATCTTTCAAGTAAACTGATACTGAATTTTTTAAAACCAATTTGAATTTGGTCCAATATTTCAAAAAATCTGTGTTTATGGCTGAGGCCAAATTTTTTTATAATGATATATTGTACACCCCGGCTTAGACAATGTTATATTATTATTTTACTAGTTTCTTAAAAAAAATAAAGGACGTTGAGCACAAGCTAATCAGCTTATTTTTGAACGAATTAACTTGCCTAAACGTCATATAACTAAAAATGGATGGAGTATAACAATTTAATTAGCCAAAGCTCACATTCAACCAGTAAGAACAAAAATATGTATGCCTCATATATCAAGACAATGTCTAGTTGAAAATATTACGACTACTTCACTATCAAAGCACACTCTTCATTATTTGGCTAACCTTATCTAACAACAATTATTGGTGGGACCCCCAAAAGATCTTTATGTGATTGCATTGTAACATCACTGCTAAGAGCTACAATTAAAAAACATCAGTGCTAATTAATAATTAAGCACAAGTCAGTGGAAACTTTGTATGACATGCGCAGTCTGCTTAAAAAAACAGCAGTCATATCAACAAGAGATCAGTGATGCAGATTAAAAAAAATCCTTCATGATCATGAAGTAGCAAGAGTGTGGGTGATATATCATCTGTAACGGATAGGTATGGTTTTTAACCGATCAGTTTTGACCCTTGTTGGACAAAAACAAATTAAAGTTGCCGAACATAAGATCCAAAGACCGGTTGCTGTCCAAGTTGGCGTTCTTCCATGATGTTTACATGTCATCTAGTAGATTAATTAGTAGTGTCTAGTTGTTGATAGTTATGGACGCTAGCTTGCTTGATATTTTGGTTGCTTCTAGCTGTAAATCTTTTTCACGTAGTGCCCCTGTATGGTGCGCTAGCTTGCTTGATATTTTGGTTGCTTCTAGCTGTAAATCTTTTTCACGTCCACTCAAAAGAATATGTGCTCCTCGCTAAAAAGTACGTACATGTCGAATTACTACCGTTAAAGCAAACACAGTGTGTGGTATATCTTTTTCCCAACCAATTCCACACGCTCTTTTTCAGTGGACATGAAAAAAAGATTTACTGCACCATGTTTAATTTGCTTTGATATATATAGTAATAATTTCGGACAAACTATACTCAAACAAATGCCAGTATAGTAACAATTGATAATGATACCGCACCGCACGTTAGCGTTGCGCAAAAGATTTTAGCGAGGAACAAACATACTTTTTTTTTGAAATAGGAACAAACATACTCGGACAAACTAAATAAAACTGCCATTTTAACCACCACCATCATTTCATTGCTTGATATGCAAGTGTTTTCTTTTTTTTCCCCCTTTTTGTCGTGAAGCCACTATCAAAATGGGCCATGATCGATATATGTTGCTTCTTTCTTGTCATGTCTCGTCCAGCCGGCTTAGCTAGCTATAGCTCGTAGCTAGCATGAAGGACTCTGCATATGTGGCGTGCCCGTGGTGGACGGGGCGGATCCGGAAGATGAGATGAGATCCACATCGGGCGTCATCCTGCGCTTTGGTCGCTTATCCTCCGCCATCAGGCACAGGAACGCCGAGCAGCCAATCTGATCGATGCCCAACAGCATCATGCATGTGTGGTCGTGTGGCTAACTCGTCTCACACAAGTTGAAACTTGTGTGTATATATATAGACTAGTATGAAGCGCGCGCCTCGCGCGTGGGTAAACAATATGGGTGTGATACACTAAAATTATATGAGAAGTTAATTAAGAGTAATAGGCAAATACATACCTAATTGAACATACTTTATGGAATATAGTTTTGTAGCTGACTAATTATGTGCATAACTCTTTAGAACTGTGCACAATAGGCGTACAGAGCACTATTTAGGGCATAATACAGGGTGCATATAAGAGTAGGAAATAAGTAAGCAGCTAGGCAGGGCCGTGGACAGATGTTGGGGCTATATAATGACATCACTCAAGAAGCGCATTTGCAGAAGGTGTTAGCTAAGTAGAAGCTGTGGCACAACAGGAAAGCTTTCCTTCTAAAGTAGCCGATGGTGGTCCGACGTGGATCTTCTCAGTAGTTTGGTTCACGATCAGAGAAGTCGCCGGTGTGGCGGTGTAAGATCGTCAGCTGCATAGAACAATATCCGCCATCAGATGGATTTAAAGCATACACCATATCGTTCAGTAGGTCTGTCACATTTCGAATCTTATTCAAATCGCCTAAATTATCACTCAAGAAAAACACTACAAAAAACATGAGACAGGTTAATTGAATGAGGAGAGGCCAAATTAGGAAGGAAAATGGCATAACCTCAGAGTCTCAACATCTGAGGACATTCCCGCAGCATATGTAGGTGAATCATAGGTCCAAGAATTATGTGTTGCTGGAGGAGTAAATATTGACGGAGCATCTATAGGACGTTTTGGGAACACCACACCTCTTTGTCTGTAGCAAAGTTCATCAGTTACCTAAGGTAGTTGCAACTAAAAGGATTGTTTGCAGAAAAGGCAGAGAGGCAGAAATGGATCTATGCGGCTGTGCCAATTCAAACAAACAGAATTTGGGGGAAAATGCTACTCAATACTCTACTTGGGAAGATGCCACTCAAAATCTCTGTTGCTTTGAAATATCCCATTGTCTCTCCCTTTTCGTATCTGCACATTCTTGTCCTTCTAGAAATGAGAGATAAAATGGTAGGGACCGAAAGAAAAGTAAAAAGAGAGCGATTTTTTTAATTAACATGTTTTTTAGCAGCTTGCTAAAATCAAATTCGCTAGAAAGAAGGGGATGCTTTGCAATAACAACATTGCCAATGCATGTTGAATGCAGGACATGTTTCTGAAACCCTGCACAGTGGTAACAATATTTGGTGAGAACATCCTGCATATTATTCTGGAATCAAATTCTAAAAGAGATATTGCCTAAAATTCTAACATGGATGTCACCTTATTATAGGCAGTGACAAAACAAGAAAGGAATACAGCACAAATAAACTAAAATGGATCTTTGTAGAACCAAAAACTATGGCATGTCAGCTGATCCAAACAATAATTTATGGTTTCTCATTGCAAAGGACTTTGGAAAAAGTACTTACAAAGGAAAAAGTGCAGCAACCATACAATCTATCTAATTCTATCTAATAGGTCAAAACATGCACATGGAAATGTCAGTTTTAGCATTGGAGGTATCTTCGGTCCAAGTCTCAAGCTGTTGTTCAAGGTTATTTCATACTAAAATGATGCCTTCTCAAGCAGATCACACCTTGAGATAATATGAGCTTCATGCAATGCCAAAAAGAAAATAGCAGAACACCCTAGACATACTTATTAATGTATTGTCACCCCCTACCTTGTCTGTTTTTTTTTTAATTTGTCAACTTGCTAATTCATTGCAGCTGCAACCAGTTAATGAGCAATCCAATATCATAGGTAAGCATTCAGAAGGCATAGGCACAAGTACTTGCTATTAGTTGGTACCGAAACAAATACATTTTTTCCTATCTAATCCAAGCATAGAAAAACTAAACTAATATGAGAATGGTTGTTTCAGTCTGCATTGATTAGTTTCACTCTACAAAATCACCTTTACTTTGGCAACATGTTTTAGAGGCACCATATTGTTTTTTAGTAGCATAGGTGTTATGGAAGTCTATAAATAATCACATCCAAATTTGATGAGTACAAAAGTAGAGCAAATTGGCACTACTAACTACAACAAAATCACCAGTTCTACAGGAATCGACTTCAGGGCATCACATAACCCATAAATAACCAAGCTGACTTTGTGGAAACTCCAAAGATTGGTCTCCACCATTAGT